TTTCTTTCTTTCTTTCTTTCTTTCTTTCTTTCTTTCTTTCTTTCTTTCTTTCTTTCTTTTCTTTCTTTCTTTCCCTCCCTCTCTCTTTCTCTTTTTCTTTCTCCCAACCTCCCTCCTTCCTTCCCTCCCTCCCTTCCTTCTTTCCTTCCTTCCTTCCTTCCTTTCTATCTGTCTATTGAGTGAAAGATCCGAATTTCAAACCCCGGATGTGATCCTGACCACTATTTCCCACCAATGGAGAGAAGACTAAAGCTGTAAATGGTACAGTGTGAGATGCCTACGGCTTGAGAGAGATTATGAATCCCTATCCAAGACCTTGCGGCCAAACTGCTCTGAGAGGCATTTGTAGAAATGTAGCCTCTTGTGCACACTATCGGCTGGTCAGGGTTCTTGAGTTAACGTAGTGGGGCGTCTCCAGTAGGTGTGTGTGCCTGTTAGTGGCAGAAGCAGGTTTAGTAGCCCCGTGTCAGTTAGCATCAGGATATGGCATCAGGAAAACCTGTGACCGTCATGTGAAAACTTCTTCAGCGTTGAGTGCTTCTTAGATTTTGGAATTGCAGATGAGAGATTGTGGACCTGTAATAAATGTAAAACAACGGTGTATGTTTGCTTTCCCTTCTTTATTCTGTATCCATGAGTGATTGAGTCTAAATGCCAGAGTTTATTACATTAGTATGGTTACTTCGTGTTTCTTTTGTGAAAGATAAGATTTTTAATTTGGAACAGAAATTCTTAATAAATTTTTATTTATTAATGATGACCTCATTTTGTCAGTTGGTCTTGTCATTGGACTGCAGCTATGACTGTCTTCCAATTTTATTTTTAGGCAATTTATCATCTCAAGTTCCCCTGAAGAGACTTCTCAACACCTGGTCAAACAGATACCCAGATTCCAGAAGGGACCCAATGAACATCTGGGATGACATCATCACAAACCGGTAGGATATGGTCCTCTTGAGTCAAGTGCAGATTTTTTCTAAAACTGCAGACCATGGTTTAGAAGCATGGGGGTTTGAGTTGAGTAAATATTTCCAGCCGACTTGAATCTGGCCTACTCCCTACCTCAGCTGCTCTGAGAGTCTCCGTGTATGGGGTGTCCTGCATCTTGGCTTGGCCCCAGGCGGGAGCTGCTGCCCACTTGTGCCAAAGGTGTCCTGGTGCTCGAGTGGGTTGCAGGGGGAGGAGGCGGGGTCACCTGTGCATCTCTGCTCTCGCACAGCTGAACTTCAGGTGGCAGGATGACGGTCAGGGCTGCCATGCACCGACTTCTGTTTCTGTCTTCCTCACTTGGATTTCTGATACTCCTAGCACCTGTTTCCCAACTCCCTCACACACGTGGGTGTCACCAACCAGATCTGAGCTCCTCTTCAGATCTCCCTCTCCGCCCTTGGGCAATCCCTACGCTGAGGGCAGGTACATACAAAGCTGACATTTCAGAGGAGAGGCGGTTGAGTCAGAGAGGTTGTGGATTATTTTGTACAGATATTCCTAGGAATAGACGCCAGGACTCTGACACTAAGTGTAATTCTAACATTATTTCCTACACTACCAGGCTTTTCTTTTTTTTCATACTTTTTAAAAATACTGCATTAAGTTGTAAGAAAAGTAGCACTGTGAGGTTTACCTTTGTTAACATTTATGTTTCTTTATTTTTCTTTTTTTAAATTTATTTTATTTTTAAATTTAAATTTACTTATTTATTATACATCATTACAGCATACAAAAAGATTTCTCATCCAGAATACACTGTATGTTGGCTCAATTAAGCACATCAGCATACATGTTATCGTCAACAAATAATTTTTCATTTCTTGTTTCCTGTATATTTTGCTTTTTTTTTTCCCCATCCTTGATTCCCTATCCCTCACCCTCTGCCGTGTCCCACCCTCTTCCCACACTGTCTCTGGTATCCATGGTTGCTTTCTGTGCCTTTCCCCCATTTTATTGATTTGCTAATGAACATAATTAATCTAAATATTTCCAATAGAAAGTGCAGCTGATATATACATATCCATGAACATAAGTCTGACTTCAGGCATAAACCTCAGTGAGTAGAATGAACATACTATAAAGTAGCACCTAGCTGGGGCTATATAACTTACTGCGGTCATCAAATATGCATTTTTTTAATCATATATGTAATCATCAATAATTTTCCATTTCTAGTTTCATATATTTATTTATCCCTATGTCTGACCCTCTGCCCTTTCCCACCCTCTTCTCACGCTGTGTCTGGTGTATACAGTTGTCTCCCATTCCTCCCCTCAACCCCCACATTTTATTGATCAGACAATTTCTTAAATAATCTAACTACTTTCAATAGCAAGTGCAGCTGGTGATTTCAAGAAAAGCTGTTTGGGATTGGTAAGGAAATTTGCTTAAAACTTAAAGCCAGGAAACAGGCTAGGATTCTGTTCAAATAGTAGGTACATGAACTATGGACAGCTCAAGACAGGACAAAAACTCTTAAAACCGGACAACAAAGCCTAGAAAAAAAGCAGCAATATTTTAGTCAAAAGTCACAGAATGCTGTTTCACCAGTTCAGTCTCATGTACTTAATCTACTCTTGTGGTTCGATCTTCCTGATTGAATTCTGGGATATAATACTCAACTCTAGACTTGTCCCTACGATTAATTTGGCCATTTTCTTAGTTTTTGAACTCTTATTTCTGCATGTCTGCATTTAATTTTCCTGACATAGCACTCCCTTGAGAACTTATTGGAGATCTGGTCTGGTGATGGTAAATTGTTTCAGATTTTGTTTATCTGAGAATGTTCTTGTCTTCTCTTCCCATATGGAGGATAATCTTGCCAGGTACAGTATTCTTGGTTGTAATTGCTTTTCCCTGAACATGTTGAATATATTTTCCCATTCTTTCCTCGCTTGCGTTGTTTCTGATGAGAGGTCTGCTGTTAGCCTGATGGGATAGCCTTTGTAGGTAACTTGCTGTTTTTCTCTTGTCAATCTTTGTAACTTGTCTTTGTCTATGGTTTTGGTTAGTCTGGCTATAATGCGTCTTGGAGAAGATCCTCTTGGAATGATTCTACTTGGGGTCCTTTGTATTTCTTGGGACTGGATCTTTGAATGCTTCTCTAGGTTTGGAAATTTTTCTTGCAGGATTTCATGGAATAGATTATCAATGCCCTTATAAGTCTCTTTGCCTTCTAGAATGCCAATTATCCGGATGTTGGGATGTTTGATGGTATCTAGTATTTTTCGTATAGTATTCTCAATTTTTTTGGACACTTTTCTCAGTCTTCGTGGTGGATTTTTCTTTCTTTTTTTTTTTTTTTTGTAGGGGTTTTTGCCTTAGAGCGTGTGCACTCGCTAGACAGAGAGAGAGAGAGATAGACAGAAGGTGAGAAATCCCTTCTCCTCTATTCTTCTTTCGGGATCTTGGCCACGCATACACACGCGCCCGGCGTGAGTTTTAAGCCACTGGGTCCAGGACTCGAACCGCGGTCGACTACATGGGAGTCCAGCGACATAGCCATTATACTAACTGCTAGTCCCAGTGGTGGATTTTTCTACCCAGCAATTTTCTCTTCTACCTCTGAGATTTTGTGTATGATCTAGTCTGTTTTTAATACTTTGAAGAGAGATTTTTGACTTCCTGTATTACAGCCTTCATCTCTAACAGTTCCATCTGATTCTTTTGTAAAGTGTGCAGTTCCTCTTTCAGATCTTGAAAGAATTTCTTCACCACCTGGAACTCGTCAGCTCCTTTCTCCTTTCTCTTCTGCAGTTCGTTGTCTCTCTTCTCTCCCATCTCTGTTAGCTTCACCATTATGAATGTTCTATATTCTTTATCAGACGTTTCCATGATTTCCATTGAACTGTCTATGGATGATGAAAAGGAGTTGTTCTTTTCCCTTGGAGGAGAGGTATTTTCTTGCATTCCCATATTTCTTGTGGCCCTGCGGTGATTTCTAGTCATCTGACAGATGGTGTGTTCCTTCCCAAACTTGAAGTTCAATCACTCAAGTTTGTGGGCTGGAGGCTGAATTATCAGTAGAAAATCTCAATTTCTTTTTTTCCTAAAGTCACTAGTTCTCAGGCTTACCAGTTCTTTTAACATTTGGCACGTTTTTTTTTCTCCCTCTGTCCCGTACAAACATTTAGTTATTTTTGGTCCATCTGAGTGTAAGTTCCACCATTGCAACCCTCTGCCTCTTTACAGATCATGCAGTTTCCTAAGAAGGGAGCGTCATCTGACGTGACTAAAGTGTCATTTTCAACATCAGTGCTTTCCTGTCTCATCTGCCCCCTGTTTCAGTGTTGGCAGTTGTCCTGCTCTGTCTTCTGTAGCATTTCTCCCAGGGCAGGACCCAGTGCAGAACAATTCTGCAGTTCCTGAACATGCCCTGCTGGTCTCCTTTCATCTGGAACAGACCCGCAGCCCTCTTTGTCTTCCACGACATTGACACTTGTGAGGAACACCTCAGTTTAGGTTTGTTTTAGGTTTCCTCACAGTCAGATTCAAAAATACCCAAGCTGGTCCCATAGCACAGAATTGGGCCCTGCAGTGGGACCCAGATCCCAAAGGCCAGCTGTGGTTCAAGTCTTGGTCCTGGAGGCAGCATGTTGGGTGTGTGTGCCGAAGTGCCCGGCAAGATGTAGAAACATGGGGAAAAGGGCGACGGCATGACTGGACCCCTTTGTACAGGCTTCTTTCTCTCCTCTCTGGCATGCATGGCATGTTGGCATTTCAATGGTAAGGAGTACTGGGCAGGGTACGAGATGATTTCTAACTTTGTGTCTCTCTTTTTCCCTCTGGCAAACACACATACCATATGGCAAAAAGCTTTAAAAAAAATTATTTGGTTTCTTTGCCAGATTTTGCCCTTAAAAACTAGTAAGTAATGTGGGAGATGCATAGGGACACACAGGTTCTCCTCGCACTCACTCACCTGTATTTTGTATTCATGGAGAACTGGCCCAGTTGGGACAATTGTGATCGCAAAACACCTGTTTGGACTCCTCCACTCATTCTATGTTTATGAGTCTGCATCCTCCCTCCCCCTCATCTGTCTCTGTTCATTTACTTATTAATCGTGACCATCAGTGTAGCATGGATTCCGTTTTTTGATGGGATATAACCAGTTACTGTGGTGGTTCATTCGTGTTCAGTTACCTCTGATCTGGCCAGTAGGAGCCCCCTGCAAGGTAATACTCTAGTCTCATCTTGCATAATTATTCTCCTGTTTTTCTCTGGAAAATGCTATAGTTTTAGTTCTTATATTTAGGTCTTCCATTGGAAGACCATTTTTGTAGAAGGTGTGAGGCAAGGGTAGATGTTCACATTTTCCAAGTCAGCCTGGATTTGAACCCAGGCCTCCCATTTGGCCCCACGGCATAGCAGCACTCTGCCGCTCACACCACCAGAGCTGGGCTGTAACTTAGGGTTATGGTGACCTCATGAGATGAGTTGGAAGCATTCTTTTCTCTCTCTGTCTCTAAAATTTATGTAAATCCTCATTATTTTTTTAATCAAATATTTGAAATAATTTACTGGTGAAAATTTCTGGGCATGGAGTTTTTCTTCGGGAA